GTCGCCACTCGCAGCCGCCCAAGAAGCCGAAAAATAAAAGGACTACCCTTCGAACTGAGTTGCCGATCTTTCCTCGATTTGTGCATCGATACGAATTAGGACTCACGAGTATTTTAAGGTATTTATCATCTCGCGAACTTACTGTGTGCTCTCTCTTTCAGTCAGGGTCGCGTTAGTTTTATCTCTCTACATCCCTCTCCCTTTAGCAACTGTGCTAGCTACAGTAGACTCCCCTATAAAACGGATATAGTTCGGATTCCTATATGACGGCGAAAAAATTGCGACCGTATTCGTATAAACACGCTAAAAGAGACTCGTATAATACGGTAAAACGTCATCGCCGACTCGTGTCGCGACAGGACTGGTCGAATCTAGACCAATAGCGGATATTGCACAAACTGTTGAGTTTAAACGAGCAGCGGACCTACTAAAAACCATTTATTATTTAACGTCCATAAAAATTATATTTATATTAATGATGTCTCCAAAGTTCAGCAAAGTTTTCTCAGAAAAATAATTTATCAGGAAGCACGCGAGCGCCATTTGATGCACCGCTCCACGACGAAAATAAGCTTAATTAATTTTAATTAAGCAATGGCGTCGTCGAACGGTGCACACTCAGTAAGTAATCCTACAATTTTTTGTTTATAGCATAGTTTATATGGATTATTCCCAAAAAATTATATGTATTTTGGAAATGTTGAGTCGAATTAGTCTAGAATCGGTTAATTTTATGGAAGAAAACTTTTCAAACAGCCGTAGTCCGTAAATTGCATACGTGCCGGGCTGTGATTGGCTCATGTATTTAAGGACTCGTAGAAAATGGATTTCATAAAAACCGGAACATATCTACCGTGTTATAGGGGGGGGTAAACTGTACTTTTTAGCCATTGTGCTAAGCTTGTGGAAATGATCGTAAACTTGTAAACAATATCTATCAATAAACGGGTATTTTTGTTATATATTAATTTGTGGAGTGTACTTCCGGTCGTTTCCATCCGCCTCCGAGTCCGGAAGCCTACAACGCGATCGCTTGCGCAACGAAAATAGCAGCCAACCCGGTTTCTGTGTCTGTCCGTAAAGACACAGTGGTGTCAGTCCTGACAAGGTACCAAGGAAGTGCCGACCCTGCGGTCACAATTGAATTTCCTCCGAAATTAAATTTTTCATATACTACTATATCTTTACAAGTTCAATTTTAAGTAAATAAATTTCAAAAAGTCTAAAACAAGTTTTATTACTCATCTTACTTTTATTTACTCTTTTCAGCAAATTCTTAAAGATTTCACAATAACCGACATTTTCTTAGATTTATATAAATATATTTTTAAATAGATTATTATATCTATGAAATGGAAAAATGAAGATATAAATGAAACTTTGAAGATCAAGTTCTACTTATATGAATTTTTGTAATGAATTATTAATTTCTATACAGTTACATGTACTGTTTATAGGTAGATTTTGAACTGTTCAATAACTTATATTTAATATGTACAGTAAATTAGGCTTTGATATTTCGCTTTAGCAGGTAATTTTAAAAAGTATCGAACTCTAAAACTTTTAATTTCTTTAATAGATAACAGAAAGTTAATTGCATTAGTTAATGAAATACGAAAGTATCTCATGATGTAACTAATTAATTATAAAAGAGTAATTTATTATTGAAAAGTTTATTTTTTCTGGTTTATCGTATTTATTACAAATCATTTACATACATATATTCTCTCTTTTTAAACACTTTATTCTTAACAATTTTCTGTTAATTTTATAACGTTGTATATTATTATTATAATATTCATTTTATTTAAAAAACTTTGAATTTTGCGAAGTTTTAAAAATTTGATTTAGCTTGTTTATAGAAATATGTCTGATTGATCTTATTTTTGATTGCATCTTAATTGATCTATTTTATGAATGCAAAAGATTGGAATAAAATAGAAGTAAGAAGTTAGAAAAGCATTTATTCTACAACAGTAAAGGTAGCAGGAAAAAACTCTGTTTATCTTATCTTTAGGATAAATTTAGTCTGAAACATAATCCGATGTAAAAAAAGTAAAATATAATAAACAAAAATACATTCCTTTCTTTCTCTTTTCTGTAAGTACATGAACCTTGAATTGTCAGATAATATCTATCCACAAGAATTTGATTTTGAAAGGATACTCAAAAAATTATATAAATCTGTACTTTAAAGACTGGAATAAGTATTTGTTTTGTTACACCGATTTGATGCAGTTCACAAATAAATGTAGCATGAAATGGATGTTTTATTTATTTATTTATTTTTCATGTGATGGAAAAAGAACCAATTTATTTCACCGTGATATTAAATCATTATTAGTTAAGATATAAAATACAGTAAAACCTGCGTAAAACGGAATTGTGTGGTACCGAATATTTTTTTCGTGCGATTCCGTATATATAGATCATTATGGAGTAGCATGGATTATAGTATTGTTTACCATTCCTTCCGTACCTATGCTGCATTGTGAATCGGTCTCGACCGTAATAGTAAACATTGTGGCCGACCATATTTCCTAACAGGATTTCCTTACCTTTAAAATATTACATAAAATCATAAATAACAATTCATTAAAAACGAAAAAAAAATGTTATGCCATATTACGTTTAAAAATGATTAGGTCAATCATAAAAACAGAATGAATCAATGATAATTTAAAGTATTTAGTACACAAAAATATAATCCTAGAACAATTTTCAGAATTATCAGTAAAATTTATCGTAAAAATTCCATTAATGTAGAAAATTTCACGATATTATAACTCGCAATTTTTTTACAATCGCTAAATATTTAATTTATTTTAAACAACCTATATATTTTATCTTTATGACCTTATTTTATAAATAATAGGTTTTTGATGTAAAATAATTTAATTTAATTCAGCAAAGCATGATTTTAAAATGGTAACAATTAAATCAAATAGCTTAATTAATAGCGAAGTTCGATAACGAACGACGAACGTAAATAAAAAATTAATTATCTTGTATAGTACAGTACTGTACATAAGAAATCCTTTCGTAAATGATTTTTCGAATGATTAAAAAACTAAAAGTGATTTTTTTAAATTTCAATTTTTAGATTATTTTATGATTTTCGAAATTTTCATATCATAGCTACTCTGAAATACGAATAGATAATTTGCAAATCCGATCAATGAGTGTTTCTTCATAGTTAATTTTATGGATATTATGAGCAATGAAAATTATATTTTCTATTCTTTTTAATTGATATGCCGTATTTTCTTTTTTTAAAATCTATTGTTTAATATATAATTTGGTTGATTGTTGTCAGCTGTCTACAGGAAACTCGTAATATCAAATTATCAAAATATCATTTAATTTCATGCTATATCCTCTCTCTTATTTTTTAATGGTATAATTAACCGTGGAATAACAAAGAACCGTAGTACTACTTATATTAATTTCTTTTTTTAATGAGAAATATATTTGGTAGTATTAAATATAAGCTCCTCAAGGACTTTAAGTTAGTATTTCTAAGATTTTCTCCTGTATAATGGGATCTTATTGTTTTTCGTATTAATATAAATAAATATTCATTTGACATAACAAAGTATTTTACATTAGGTTTACCAATTTTAAAAAAACATTTTCATAAAATAAGGAAAAAATTACCGTAGGAAATTTCTAAACTTTAATTTTAAAATGTTTTTCATAAATTTAATATAAAAAATAAATCGGGTAAATAATTAATTAAAAATTAAATAATGGGTTAATTTTATTCTAAATTTTTCAAATAGTAATAATTCTAGTTTATTTTAATTTTCATTATCACAAGAATAGATAAGATTGTAAATAGACAAGATTGTTATATTGAAACATTAGACCTGTTTCATTGTACAGCTAATCTATTGCATCATTATTAGAATATTCGCTTCTAATATACATATACACGTATCATATTTAGCATTAAAATATTTTAAAAAAATGGACAAAAGTTATACATGTAATTTAATTTGTATAGCTTAACTAGAAAATTTGAATTTGATTGCATTCTTTGAAATCATCCTCATTCATAAAAATTTCCATCATTAAATCTGTAAATAAAACTATTTACTATCATAAAGAAACAGAAAAATTGTTATACAATTTACAAACGAAGAAAAAACTTTTAATTTATTTTATTTTTCACTAAAAAAGTATTTTTTCCATATAAATTAAAAAATCAATTGTAAAAATTGAGATTTGAAAATGATGTTTTCTTACAGGAGATATTTTTTGACAAATGAAACATTATAGTTATTACATTTGGAATAAANAGATATATATATATATATATATTTATATTTTCTGCATGAAAACAATACTTGCAATTTGGAACAATAATTAATTCTTTAATAAATCTAACATTAATTAACGACACAAATTTATATAAAATGACAATTATTTATATGATTTATATAAATAGCTATTATTTGTAACGATCAGAATATACTGGATGTAATCCAATAAGTAATATAAAGATATTAAAATGAAATTGGAGTTTGAAATTTGTGAGGAATTTTTAGTAAGGGAAGGAGTTTTTATATTTTATATTTTAAAATAATTCAATGACTTACATCCAGTTCATTATGATCTTTTGATAATTATTTTTTCTTCTTTAGTTTCTAACGATGGTGCAACATCTTAAATAAAAATTAACAGTGCACAATGTTGATGAAATGGTAAATTATCCTATATTTCATGCATTCACTACATAAGTAACTGAGTTAATGGACAGAATTTTGTTGTTCGTTTATTTTTATTGATTTATTTGCATATTATACTGCATTAAGAGTTTATTTATTTACCATTTCATCCACTGTGGGATTTCTACTCACAAGATACATTTGTATTTTTGTAACCGTTAAATATATAAATGGGCAAACAACACTGTAAATTAGTTGGATAAAGGGATTATATAAAATTTTAACAATGGGTGTGTATAATTTACATTATATCTTTTACTCATTGTGGACTATCATAAATATGAGATTCATCTTTCTTCTTCAATGAGCTAGTCTTTGGTACAGGAAGAGGTCTGTCTTTCATATTCTGTAAGAAAAATAATACAGCTTGATTATAATTAGAATAATTTATAAACAATAAAATATTAAAATTATTTTACTTGTGGAAGAAATGATTTCATTTCTTGATGAGGATCATTGCCACTTTCTGACACATCATCTCTCATTGGTACTGTAGCATATGGTGTTGGATAATTGGAAGATAAATCAGAATCTGGATAAGGATATTGTCTTGATTTTTCTATGTCAACATACCGTTGAGAAGCAGGGCCATAATTATAATGTTTCTCTTCTCTAAGGGCTTTAGTTAAAATGGTAATTACATAAATCTATTAATGAACAAAATATTATTTAAAAAGTTTACCTCTTTCTAAATTTCTTCTTCCTCTTGCTTTTTGTACCCAAATACATACTACAATAGTTACAACAATAATTGCTGCGACAGAAGCTGCTATAGGTACCAACAGTGATAAATCTAAGTAATACGGAGCATCTTGGCCACCAGTTAACAAAATTAAATTGTCATTGCCTATAAATAATTCAACAATTCAAAATAAATATTGACATGGATTACATTTTAAAAACAATAAATATAATACAACTCTCTTAACTGATATAATAAACTATATCAATTCACTAATTAACCAATTCTTTCCCCTATAAATCTCAGAGAAATCATTGAATTTTGATTTAGGCTATCTTATTTTTAACAAAGTGAAAAAAATTTATGTTTTAAATATAAATTTTATGACACACTGTATATATTTGTAACTGGAGAAGAAAAATAAATTTATAAATAAAAATATATAATGAAAACATGGTGTTATGGAATATACCAAGCTTAATTCCACAACAAGATTTTAAAAAATTATTGCTTGTAATGGAACAAAAAATTACCAAAAAGAAAAATAGTCAAACATTTAATCTTAACAGCTAATTATCAGGAGTTCAAAAGAATATTTTGTAACTGTGGAAACATGAACATTCATGCAACAGAATGTTCTTTGAATTCTGATATGCAATTAAGCTCTAAAGATGTTTGAACTTTCTTAGTTCTTGAATTTTTTGCTCCATTAAAAGCAGCAATTTTTTCTTTTTTTTTTCTTTTTATTTGTGGTCTCTATTTAAACTGAAATTTTCAGTTGATTGACTGATAATTTGTTCCACTCATGTTAGCTAATATGCTTTCTACAGATAAAATTAGCAAGTAAAATTACTTACTATGACCAGTTGTTTTAACATTCAATAATTCACTAGGATCTCCTTCTCCAAATTCATTAGCTGAGGTGACATATAATTGATATTCAGCACCACTTTCTAAGCCATTAATAGTAAACACATTTTCGGAAGGAGTTAATACTGGAATTTGCTGCCATCTTTCAAATTTCTTTCGATAGTGAATAACATGCCCTAATTAACAAAACATATTAATACTAAGTAGAATTTTAAATTTAAAAAATTTTGAAAATTAAATCATATTTAAGGTAATGTTTTACCTGTAAGAGGAGTTCTTGTATCTTGTGGATGCCACTGAACTTTAATAGAACTATCAGTAGTACTGGCAAGAAATATATGAGGAGGCAATGGAAGATCTATAATAAAATTATACATTAAATGTGTGATTTATATTTAATTTCTTAATATAAAATTTATAAAACAAATATATAACCTCCTCCCAATGTCTTCACTAGCACATCCTGAGAAACTGGACCACTACCTGCTGCATTGAAAGCTTTAACTACTATTTTATATTCTGTATCTTTTCTTAAATTAGTGATCATATGCTCATGAATTGCACTCTGACTATACTCTAATGTTTTAAAAGAATATGGTTGAGCTGAATCAAGCACTTTATAACCTACATAATATCCTTTCAATAGTCCATTCCAATCACTTCGTGGAGGATCCTACAACAGATATATACATATGTGAAAATCTTAAATAAAATCATGTTTGTGCATTCTAATAATTCTCTCTCAAATAAATAAAATAACTATTTTTTAAAATTTTAAAGTTACTATAAATATTTTAAAAATTCTAAATTTAATTATGAAAATTGAATAATTAAGCACTACTGACCTTCCAACTAACAAACAAAGATGAAGATCCTTTAGCCTCAACATTGACATCAATTGGAGCTCCAGAAGGTTCTTTTAAAAATTTCAATTTTATTAAAATTTTATTAAAAGTCAGATTTAAAGAATTAATTATCTATTTACCTTCCTCTCCTGTGGTAAAAGTAACAGTCTGAGAAGATTCACCTCGTCCAACGGCATTTTCAGCAACAACACTTAATGTATAAGTGGTTCCGGGATTTAATTCTTTAATAAGTGTTGATGTCTGAGAACTAGTAACATCTTTTTCTTGTAGACGATGTGGTGCACCTATAAATGTACTACGTATACATATATTGTATATATATATTTTAAGTTTTACATTTATCAAATAATCAATTACCTTGATCTCGCCAATACTGTACCACATATTGAGTTATCGGGCTATTTCCTGTATACGGGGGAGACCAACTAACACTAACGCTTCTACTCCAAACGTCATGAACTTTAACATTAAGCGGTCGCGCCGGAACTTCTAAAATAAATAAATACGGCCTATATATTAAAAATTCTTAGAGTCACTATTGATTTTTTTAAACGGTTTACGTTCTTCATACCAAGAACCAGCAATTTCATGTTTCTATCATCTTTTCCGTAAGGATTTTCTGCAGCACAGGAATACATTGAACTATCCGTCCTTTCGGTTTCTCTTATTATTAATTCCGATTTCAAACCTTTAGCAGTTAACGTCTCAAATATTTCATATCTGAATATCATATTTTTAATTAATTTTTTCTATTAAATTAAAATTATGTATAATTTTCGTAATTACCTATTTCCACCACTTTTACCCAACTCCACCATATCTTTTTTCCATACGATAGATAATGGTTGATCTCCTGTTGCTTCGCATTTTAAGCTTGTACTATCTCCCCTTCTCGATGACACAACAGCAAACTTTTCTTCAAATTTGGCTGGTACTGAATATATTTAAAAATTAATATATATATAATTTAAATTTTATTCTAATGATTTAAGTAGAGTTATATTTCTTTTTATCGAAATTCAATAAGAGTAATTATTATTTTCGCAGGTCAACTACACGCTCATCGATCGGAGTTACATGCAGAGTATAACAGTATTTTCACTTCCTTGTTCGTTTCCCACTTGCTGACCCACAAATCTCATCTGCAAGGTCAGTATATTTGCCAGATGTTTATTCCAGTCTGTTGTAATTTTCATCAGAAACATTACACTGCTGACTATCTCGCAATAATTTCTGCACTTCATACATAATTGTTTCTACGTATACTACATATTTATATAATAGGTAATAAATTGGATATTTGTTTTAAAACAGTTGTATCATCATTACGTTCGAATAATTATGTTAACAATATTGAGTCATCGTTAATATTCTAATAATATTTAGAAGCACAGTTGAAAATTAAAGCGACAAAATTAAATCAGTTCTTCATAAGAGATTTTTAAAATGAATCACGAACAAACAATTTATTACACTTAAATCTTATTATATAAGTGACGTACTGTATGAAAATATGACGTACGATAAAGGCAACCTTCAAAATAAGTTATATCAATATCAAATTAAATAAAAATTTTTATAACATATATACGATTTAATAAAAATAATAGCAATATTTCGGTTAAATTATTATAATCATAATCTATAAATATATATAATAACCAATTTCCCTTTTAAAACATATTTATAACAAATTACAACTAGGATAATCGTCAGCTCTTAAACACGGGATGTAACGTAGACGAGTTAAATGACTTCATGAAATTTCAGTGAAAAGCAACGCATGAATAAACACCTTTTACCGTGTATCAATATTTATTAAATGCAGAGGAAAATAAAACACCAAGATTTGCAACACGATAAGGAATTATTAATTATTCTCTTCTAATGTACAGTACATCGATTAAATGCATATGCAAATTCGTTTAGTGATAATCTCTCTTATCGAGTTCGATATTCAATTTAAAAAAGAGTTTAATTACACGTTAAATTTGTAGAAAAATTAAAGAAAAAAATTGAGAAAATTCCGAAAATCAATAACACGTGATTAACGTAGTGGATGTAAATAACCTTTAAAAATATTTTTATTCTCTCTGTAATTAAAAATTATGAATATGAATTCGTAAAACTAATCATAATGCAAATTCTATAGCTCTTATACTATTTAATTGTATTATTTAATGTAAAACAAAATATATGTTAATGATGCTTGAAGGTTAACTTATATCCTAACTTCAGCATAATACTTACATCCCACTTACTTCTTAATTTAACTAATATGTTTCATTATAAATCTATATTGGTGTTTAAAAATTCATATTTGTCGCTACTATCATTAAATGATAATATTAAATAAAAACTGTTTAAAAAGGAAAGTGTGATAAATGTATTTATTCCAATTTTATTGTAAATCAGTGAGGGTAGCTGTATAAAATTTATTAATTCGAAACTAGTTTTAATCAGATTGCGTGCAAAAATAAAATTAAAAAAAAGCAACAAGTTCCACTTTCTCATTAATTTAATTAATTCAAACAGAACTCCGAGAAAGATCAAAGATCAAGTAAAACAAGTTATTTTCATCTCACAAGTTAGACCATCAGTTATTTTATCTCAAAAGACTATTTTATACTCAAATAACGAAATATAATAAGTAGCATATCTTTTTATAACATATTTTCTTTATTTTATCATTCTAATTACCCAAAATACGTAGTTTGATAGTTTTTCTTAAACTCTGTCCAACCCCATTATCGACTTGACATACATAAAACCCGTTGTCTTCTCTAGTCAACGCATGAAAATATAAACTTCCGTTCTTATTAATCACGTGTTCTTGACTAGTTGTAATATCATCCCCTAAACGAGAAAAAAATTTTTATGAAAACAGTAGAAAACAGAAATATCTTATGTTTTTATATAATGTGTTATTTAGTTAAATAATAAACAATTCACCGATTAATTTTTTCCAAATGATATTTGGAAATGGGAATCCAGATGCCGAACATTCTATGGTAATTGCACTACCTAAAGTACTTTCCATATCCTTGGGTTCCAAAACCCATTTTGGTTCAGCTGTAATAATTTTAAATCTATCATTTGTTGAACAATATTAAAATTAAGTTTATAGTTATTAAATATTTCTGGCAGAAAATTTACAATGAAAAATGAAAAATTATTTTTATAATAGTGATTATTTAAGTGTTTTTAATTATTTCTGATTCTAGAAATAATTTAAAATATTAAGAAATTAATTATTTTTTTAAGTTATAGTGAAAATTTTCAGTGTATAATTTTTATTGATTTTCTTATATTTAATCGAATTATTATGCAAATATAATTTATATGATAAATTAACAATAAGATTAATTTTCTGTAGTTTATATCATTGATAATTGCAAAATAATTTAATATATAAAGTTTATATTTTTTCTAAATTTATTAATTGTTGAGAAGTCATCATATAATTTTTGTTAATATTTACCCCTTTCCTTTTATAAAAATAATCTTGTTATAACATTATTAATTAATTATTTTTATATCCTATTAAGTAGAGTATACGAAATATAGGATTACATAGATTAACACTTAAGTATTTTTAAACGGCTTATAAAATCGAATAGGAAATTCATTAACTTCTTATACCCAGAGTAGCCATATTTTATATTATTTCATTGCCTCTTCAAACAACTAATAAATTTAATAAATACGGAGTTATCTACGTTTAACAATTTAAAATGATAAGGATAATTTACCTCTTACTGTTATCTTGGTTGTATAATTAGTTACTCCCATGGCATTACTCACCACGCATGTATAATTACCGCTATTTTCTGCATTTAGATGATGTATAGTAAGTATAGAACTATCTTGTAATATTAATATTTCTACATTTGAGTTAGTAACGATTTCATTTCCATCTTTAAACCATTTAAAATTCAATGGTTTATCGCCTTTTAGCACTGCACATAGTAATTTAGTGCTGTCGCCTTCTATCAGCATATTAGGAAAGGTAAATGGCTGAATGATAGGTACTATACCTGTAATAAAATTAAACATATTACTTTCTGAAATAGGAAAGTTTTTAAATTTAAAAAAAATTATAAATCTAAATGTAATGTGTTAAATTGATATAAAATTAATTATAAAATGATAAAAATTTATCGAATAACATGTCTACTTACCTAAAACGACGTGACTGGTGAAAACAATGCTACAGATCTTCACTATAGTTTTTGATAACATTCTTTGAGTTCAGGGTATTTTTAATGCTAATTATTATATAATTCTTATAAATTTCTGACCAAAGTTAATCATCTCTTTCTCTTCCACTCCGTTGTTTGGATATATCGACATGACAAAGTCAATAAGCGCCCCGACGTGGGCAAAATAGGAACCATTTGTGTAAATTTAGGTAATTCGAAAAGCAATTTACTTTGATTAAACAGAGTTATATTAATTCTCTCCGTTTATAAAGCGTCTTACCCAACACGACGACTTTAATCTTTTTTATCAACGATTTTCCAACGCCATTTGTAGCCACACATTCATATTCAGCAGCATCATCTTCACTTACGGATGATAACATCAATGTTCCATTATGTGACATCACGTCTTGTCTACTCTCAAAGCTTCCTCCTGAATTTTCTACATTATAAAATCATTTTTTAAATTATTTAAGCGTTATTATTGATTTTCTTGGTTTTTATACACATTTACCTATCTTTTTCCAAGTAACTCGAGGTATAGGAAATCCAATTACTTCACAATTAAGCTTAAAATCTTGACCTGATTGAATTTCGACATCATTTGGTTCTAGTACCCAACGAGGAGGTGCTAATGATATATATTTTAAATATAATTTCTTTCATACTTTAAAACATTAAATCTATGTAACTTAAATGAAAGAAGAATTGACTTACCTTCAACTATCATAAGTGAAGTAAAATTTGCAATTTCCGCATTATTTCTTACAATACAAGTGTAATTACCACTATCTTTAATATCGATATTATTGATCGATAAGATAGAGGTGTCCTTTAATATAGAAATATCGGCATTAATTTCGTTTTTTAATTTAATTCCGTTTTTTAACCATTCAAATTGAAATGGCTTTTCGCCTCTGGCTACACTGCACATAATGTTTATGTTATCACCTTCACTTATTTTAGAAGGGAAAATGAGCGGGTGTATTGTAAGTGTATCACCTTTAAAAAATATAAAAATGATTAAATATTTATTTTGATACGTCTTCAATAATAAATCATGAATTATATTAAGGAAAACTATCTATTGAAATTTACTTACCCTTGACAAAACCCAGCAAACAAAGATAAAATCCTAAAATCCTGTACGTATTAATGTGTATCCGTTTAAATGATATATTGTTAAACATTTTCTTTACTTGCTTCTTACTTAATCACACTGACATATCTTCGTAAAAAGTTCGAACCACTCTAAATCGCGAAATATTGGTAAGCAGTGTGTAACATGAATGTATCTTTCTTCCCTCACTAACAATCATCAGCGCCACGTATGAATTAAAATTTGTACTATTTAGGGATCAGTATGAATCTGATAATTTTGTTTCATAAAATTAAGTTTTATTTAAAATATTTATAAATTGACAACCTTACCAAGAACAGTAACTTTAATCATTTTTCTTAAAGGCATTCCTACACCATTTGATGCTTCACATTCATAATTACCATCGTGTGAAGCGCTAACTGGTGATATAATAAGACTGCCATTGGGTGATACGTCTTCACTTTTCTCAATCAAACTTTCTCTATCGTTATGATCTATGAGATATCAAACTTAATTAATAAGTAATAAAGTAAAATGAACCGCGCTCTTTATTTACATACAAATGAGAAGTAAATTCAATAAGAAAATGAATACATAAATAAGCATGCTTACCATTTATTTTCTTCCAAACCACATGAGGTGTTGGAAAGCCAGATACTTTACAATTAAGTTCAATTTTGTCTCCAAAACGCGCATCTATATCAGTTGGCTCTAAAATCCACTTTGGAGGAGCTAGATGTTATGATTTCACAAATGTCAAACATGTTCGACTTAGTTAAAAAATATAATAGTTATTTTCTTAAAACCAAACATACCTTCCACAACCAAAGCAGCTGTATAATTTGATTTATCTACTCNTTGGAAAGCCAGATACTTTACAATTAAGTTCAATTCTGTCTCCAAAATGTGCATCTATATCAGTTGGTTCTAAAATCCACTTTGGAGGAGCTAGAGGTTTCATATGTAATTGATATTCACTTAAGAATTTTCTAAATATATTTTTAGCTGAGACAAAAACCTACCTTCAACAATCAATGCTGCGGTATAATTTGATTTATCCAGTCTGTTATTAACAACACATGTATAGTTTCCACTATCTTTAGAATTTACATCTGCAATTGATAGAATCGAATTGTCTCTTCCTGTGTTTATTTCTATTTTTTTGTCATTGATTAAGACTATTCTATTTTTTAGCCACTGAAATTGCAGTGGTTTTTCACCTTTAGTAACACTGCATAATATCTTTATAGTTTCTCCTTCAGATACTTTCTGAGGTAAAGCAAATGGTTGTATTTTAATCTCTCCTAAGATAAATATATATAGTACATTAAAAATGCAATATGAATCAGTTAGATTGTTTAGTTTATGAAATGTAAATAAATAACAGATTTACTCACCATTTACAAAGACAAATCTTACTACGTGAATTAATAAATATGGGAAAATTATCAGTTGGAGTTTAACGCAAAAAAATTGACACATGTTTTAAATCTCTGAAGAGTTGTAGTTTGTACTCCAACACATATGAAAATAACATCTATTTCATTTGAAGATGGCGATAGAATAAAGACATACAAAGTCACTCAGCGCCACACAGTGCACGAAATACGTATTAAGATTATCAACTATAATTTCCCTAAGAGCTAATGATTTTAAAGATTTGAACTATACTCTTGATAATTTATAACTCAGAAAATAATCTTACCAAGAACAGTTAAAACTATTTCTTTATTAAGAGCTTTCCCCACACCATTTGATATTGTGCATAAGTATCTTCCACTGTCATTTGTTGTGATTTTGGATAATCTTAATATTCCATCGGAAGATATTAATTCTTGCTTTTCGTTTATATCTGTAAATTCATATAAAATTCAGAATTCTCTGAACTGTTTATAATTCATTTATAAACAAATATTTTACCAGATATTTTCCACCAATTAATTTTTGGCTTAGGAGAACTGTTTCCACTGCATTGTAATATTACATCGCTATCAGCAGGTGTTTCAATGTCTTTAGGTTCGATTAACCATGACGGAGGATCTAAAATAAATAATCATAAACGAAAAAAGTACATATAATATATATAAATCATAAAAACCTAAAAACTGTTATTTGAATTATATGCTAAAAATTATGTAATTACCTTCAATTGTTAATAATGCAGTATAGCTATCACTGCCGTGATAATTCTTCACGTTACATGTATAATTACCTCCACTCTCTGAGAGAACTGGATCAATTACAATTACGGAAAATTCTTTAAGAGAACTAATTTTAATATTTTCTAATTTATCAATATCTTTCCCATCTTTATTCCACGAAAATTCTAAAGGAAAGTCTCCTCTTTTAACAGCACAAGTTACTGTTGTCTTCCCTCCAGTTCGTATCACCGATTCAAAATTAAATGGTTGAATTTTGGGAGATTCTAGAAATATAATAGGCATATTAAAAGTGTGCGCTCAATATCTAATTTTACATAAATTATTATTTAGATAAATATGATTTCCTTACCTGCTAGAATCTGAATAATAATCATTGAGACTAAGATCACTATACAGCTTTTCTCACTGAACATCGTAGTTTTTGGCTTCGAAATTTACACGTGTTTTTATAAATCTTGACCTTCAATATCATGAAGTATTCTTATAAAACACGTATGATACGAGAGCTTTGTATTTATACCCTCTTGTTATCTATGTTAAAGCAATGGCTACGGACAAACAGCGCCACACTGTGTGATTTCTTAAAACTAATTTTATGAAATATGNGGATCTAAAAATAATTATAAATTTTAAAATATAGTTATAAAAATTTCAAAACTTACTTGAATTACATAGTAAAGTTCCTTCGATTACCTTCGATTGTTAATAATGCAGTGTAACTATCACTGCCTTGATAATTCTTCACATTACATGTATAATTACCTCCACTTTCTGACAGAACTGGATCAATTATAATTACAGAAAATTCTTTATGAGAACTAATTTTAATATTCTCTACTTTATCAATATCTTTTCCGTCTTTACGCCAAGAAAATTCTAAAGGAAAATCTCCTCTTTCAACAGCACAAGTTACTGTTGTTTTCCCTCCAGTTTGTATTACCGATTGAAAATAAAATGGTTGAATTTTGGGGGATTCTAGAAATATAATTTCTGTATTAAAAATGTGTGAGCAATATATACTATGGATAAAATTATTAGAATTTAAAAAATACTGAATTCCTTACCTGCTAGACTCTGGATAATGATTGAAATTATAATCACTACACAACTTTTCAGAATGAATGTCATAATTTTCAGTTGTTTATACAGATCTGGAACGTCTATATCATGAGGTGTTCTTATAAAACACATACGATACGAGAGCTTTGTATTTATGCGTCGTCGTTACCAATGCTAAAGCAAAGGCTACTGACAAAGGGCGCCACTCTGTGTGATTTCTTAAAACTAATTTTATGAAATATGGTTTTGTGCATTGATATAATTATTATAAATAAATAGAGTATTAAATTCAGATGCAAAATTCCTCCAATTTAAAAATATTTTACGATAGACTATTAATCAGCAATCATCATTCCATTTTTAAAAATTTTAATGAATATCTTACCAAGTACTGTCACGCGAATGACTTTTTGAATTTGACCAATTTCATTTTCGGCTTTACATACATAATTTCCACCATCTTCTGATTCTACACTTGATATTGTAAGCGTAGAGTTTCCATATTGTATACCTAATGATTCTATTCTTTTGCCAGTTTCTATATATAAAATATATAAAAAGTTATAATTCATTATCTTAAAATAAGCTTATCTTTAAAAAATAAAAGATGTCAAATTTACCGGATATTTTCTTCCAAACTATCTTTGGTGTTGGATATCCTGCAGCAAAACATTCGATTTGAATAGAAACTCCTACTTTGACATCAATATCTTGAGGTTCCATAAGCCATCTTGGAGGTGCTGAATATTATGAATGTCTTAAACTAACTTATTTTCATGCTTAAAATATCATAAATATATGTACATTATAAAATCATATGTCCATACCTTCTACAGCTAATAAACTTGTATGATTTGTAGATCCAAAATTGTTACTTGCAGTACAAGTATAGTTACCAGCATCATTAATGTTAATACTATTTATTAAGAGAATAGACATGTCTTTATGATAAGTAATTTCAATGTTTTTATTAGAAGTAATTTCTTGACCATCTTTAAACCACCGAAAATTTACAGGATCAGCACCTTCAACCAAAGTACAGAGAAATTTTGTTTTTTGTCCTACAGACAAATTCGGTGGAAAATTGAAAGGCTGTATTTTTGGAACATTATCTAGAGAAATATATAAATATGATTTGATATATAAAGACGCTTCTATTATATAGAATTTAAATGAGATAATTTTTATTAAAAAAATACTACTTACTATTATCAGATATATCGGATGCAACTGAGATAATCCATATCGAAAACACTACAAATATAGTAATACTCATTTTTGATTTAAAAGCCAGACAATATGTGAAAAATTCTGCTTGATATTGCTATCGGAGAGACAGTCGCTTATACGCTGTAGAACGGCGATAGAGGCAATGGCTCATTCTTTCATACAAACTAAAGCGCCACTTAGCGTTTGCATTTGTAACTATTGTTGAAAGCTTTTTTTGGCAGTATTTTTTACAATTTTTAAAGACTAAGATCATCTTATATATTTTATATCACCCCACAAAAATTCTTACCAAGTATAGTTAACTTGATAATTTTTTTAATTTCACCGACTCCATTATTTGCTTTACAAACATATCTTCCACTGTCACTAGAAGTTGGAGAATTTAATTCCAGCGTTGCGTTTTGAGATTTAGAAAATATCTCTTCTATTTCTTGACCATTTTCTGAAAATGTAAATGGGATCAGTATTGATGGCAAAACTCTAAAAGTAAAGTTAAAATAACGAATTCGTTCACATTACCGTTCATTCTCCTCCAAGATACTTTTGGAATAGGAAATCCTGTAGCCGAACATTTAATTTTAATAGAATTTCCGGAAGTAATATCTATATCTTGAGGTTCGGAAATCCACCTTGGTGGAGCTATATTACCAATGGGTATTTGTAATATGGCTTCTAATTTTCATAAATACCAAAATATACAAATACTCATAAAAGCATAAAATATTACCTTCGACAGCTAGTAAACTGGTATGATTAACCGAACCAAATTTGTTGCTTGCAATGCAAGTATAATTACCAGCATCTTCGATATTTATATTGTTAAATATGAGAATGGATATATCCCTAAGTTTGGTTATTTCTATATTCTTATTTCCTGTAATTTCCTGGCCGTCTTTAAACCAACGAAAACTAACTGGATGAGCACCTTCTACTAATGTGCATAAAAATTTAGTACTTTGTCCAACAGATAAATTTGGCGGAAAGTTAAAAGGCTGTATTTTAGGACTATTATCTGTAAAAATTTAACAATTATCAAAATAAAACAATAATATCAGCTATTATAACTACTAAATTATATCTTATCAAATTATATATCAAAGTAATTTAGAACTGATCGATTGAGACCAGATTATTATAATAATAATGTGGTGTAATTCAAGAATTCAATGAATTAAATCTTAAAAGAAACACAAATAAAATATTACTTACTATTGTCAGATTTATCAGCTGTGATATTTAATATCCAAACGTTCAAAATTATTAGTAACTTTATCTTCATTTCTGTAGTCTTATCCTAAATTATTAAATATCGCGACTCACTCTTAAAGCTGCGCTACTTTCACAGGCAACAGCAACGAACAACAAATAATGTGGAATGGCTCCTTCTCTCAATTCTTTCTCACCTGGAGCGCCACATGGTGACTATATTTCATATTTCTATACGCTAGCGTTTAATTCAAGCTTTATTTGGTTTCCTTGAAAACCGTTTTTACGAAAAAATTTGTACTTAAAAATGGATTATTTCAATAACTATTATACTTTGCATATAAGTAAATCGAATAAACTGTCTTTAAAAACTATTTATAAAAATTCTCGTTTGTACAGATTAACAATTTCAAGTCAAAATAAATCTCCGTGTCTTACCGAGTATACTTATTCTAATAATTTTTTGAAGACCACCAATTCCATTTTCAGCTCGGCATATATAACTACCTTCATCTTTAAGTCCTGCCGACGATAATTTTAAACTAACATTTTCGCTTTGTAAAGCCAATGGTTCCATTACTTGGCCGTCCTCTAGCATAATGAATTCGAGAAACTGTGACTTTTAAACTCAAAATAATAGAAGTAACTTGTTCAAAGGATTACCGGTGAATCTTTTCCAAGATATTTTCGGCAATGGAAATCCTGATGCTGAGCATTCAATTTGAACAGGCTTACCAACTCTCACATCAACGTCTTGAGGCTCAGAGATCCATCTCGGAGGTGCTGCATTAACGTTCAGTTAATCGTTTTTTATATTTAAAAATATAAAATATATATATATATATTTAGCCAAAAATTAAGGAGTTTCATAATACACGAATATGTTTCATCATTTATTTCGTTAATTTACCATTAGCGAAATAAATTAATTATTGAATACAAAATCAACAAATTGTAATATGACTATTATTTACCAGATAAAAAGGCCTATATAATTTTTTCAAATTTAATTAAAATTAATTACGCAGAATTAACGAAACTAAATCATAAAATACTGGTCCTTTAATTTTATGGCTAAGTGGTAATACTTAGAAGCATGTGCATACCATCAACAGCTAATAAACTCGTGTGATTGATCGAACCGAAATTGTTAGTGGCGGTGCAAGTGTAATTCCCAGAATCTTTAACTCCAATACTATTAATTATTAAAATTGATATATCCTTTAAAGTAGTTATTTCTATATTATTACTCGAAGTAATTTCTTGGCCATCTTTAGACCATTCAAAATTAACAGGATCTGAACCTTGTATAACAGTACATAATATCTTTGCACTTTGTCCTGCTGAGAGATTTGGAGGGAAATAAAATGGCTGAATTTTTAATGTTGTACCTATAAAAACAAATAATAATAATCTACAATTTGAAGTTTTCGGCTGAATTTAAATTATAATATTGAATGAAATTATTGTACTTACCACTGCGACGGATTTCTCCAATCACAAATGATCCGCTGAAGCAAATTATTAAAAGTAACAACATTTTTCTAAATTCAGTCTATCACAAAATTATAGGTTCATCTTCGTTTTATATTAATCTAGATATCAGCATAAGTTTAACAAATACTTTGGTTGCATCGCAGTCAGTGTGTTTAATGATAGTTTCCTGTTAATAATTTCTCATGATCGAGCGCCGCGCAATGGTACTAATATGTACTATACACATACAACAACATGTTTCACAGAAAAAAATGTTCGAAATGTTTGTGAAAACAATTATTTTGAATAATGAGTTTTATTGATCTATTTAAAATTTTAAAACATTTAATAATGCTATTTATTGATAAAAATTTAAATAAAAATGCAATTATGAATTAATTACGTACATATTAGTAATTCGATATTTAAAATTAAGAAATTCTTACCACGAACAATTAAAGCAATTGTTTTCTTTAAACTACTTCCTACGTTATTTGATGCTTCACATTGGTACATTCCAGCATCTTCCTCAGTTATACTCTTTATGTGCAATGAACCATTTTTTATTTTAATTTCATCATTTAATTTCTCTGTTGTTTTATCTGAATATAATAGATTAGAAATTATTCATGCACACATTTAGTTATAGAGAATAAATTAAAATTGTATTTACCTGAAATTTTTCTCCAGATAATGTGTGGTTCTGGTGATCCATAAGCTTCGCAATTTAAATTGATCTCATCTCCAATAGACGTTTCTAAATCAGATGGCTCTTTACGCCAAACTGGAGGTGCTTTAAACAAAAACTATGTACTTTTGTACAAATTTTAAGATTTAAAAGTTATTATGTATATTTAATATTAAGAATTTACCTTCGACATGTAGCAAAACAGATAAGCTATCACTTCCAGCACTGTTACTAGCTATGCATGTATAATTACCAGAATTAGTTGTGTCTACTGGGTCTATGACTATAACAGAAAATTTACTGTGACTTTCTATTTCGATATTTTTATAAGCATCTACATTTTTCCCGTCTTTTAACCAACGAAACGATAGAGGTATTTCTCCCTTTTCTACAGAACAAATTGCACTTGTTCGGCTATTTATATGAACAATTGGAGGAAAAGAAAATGGTTGTAATTTTGGTATCTCTGAAAAAATATCATTAATTAAAGAGTTGACACCAAATGCAAGTTTTAATCTATTAAAGAAATGTAGCTCACCTTTTGTCAGTGCACATGTTATCATCAGCATAATTAAGCAAATACACAACATAGTCCAATTTCTTACTTGTTTATAAAACTATAGAATGACTGATATTTAAAACACAACTCAACAGTTTGATATTTAAATCACTGAGTAAATTTTCTCTAAACTTAATATATATTGTTTAAATTCTACCGACCACACTTGGCAATGTTAGATAATGGCGACAAGAAACTGATTTGTATATAGACAAGTTGCGCCACTTAGTGGAAGGAAAACGAACTGTGAGTGAAAATACTTTAATAACTCTTAAATCGTTTATTTTGGCAAATTTCTGTAATAACATTTGCTGTGCTAGCGATATTGAAAAATTAATATTTCAAAAATTAAAATAATTAGCTTTAACTAACCAACAACTGTTAAGGAAACTGTTTTGGTCAGAGATCTCCCAATTCCATTTTTTGCTTCACAAACGTATGTACCATCGTCATCTGAAGTCACTGAAGTAAATGACAAAATGCCATTAGTCGATTCAACAAATATTTCGGTAGGAATAGCAGATTGCGGATTATCTACGGAAACATAAAAGCTAATCAGTTTTTAAATATTTTTCTGTTGATAAAGTAAAAGGAATAAAAATAATGACTGCAATTACCCGACAGTTTTTTCCAAGTTATAGTTGGCTGTGGAAATCCAGAAGCGTGGCAAGTAAAATTCACAATTTCTCCTTGGAGCACTGATTTATCAGAAGGTTCCACTGTCCAACTAGGTGGAGCTATTCAAAATTTAACACAAAAGTGAAACTTAACAGAAACATTTTCATTAAAATATACAGTTCAAAGTATTTGCACAATGAGAATTGAATGATTTTATATAACAACAACATTCATGTGAAATTTCTGAAAAACGAAAAATTATAATATATATTTGCTTCATAACAGTGCCATTTTTGAAAAACAGTCATTCCATAGACTATTTATTATAACTAAAAAACATTATTTTATGAATCTCACCTTCAACAATCAACATACTACTAAAACTCGTGGATCCTTGGCTATTTCTTACAGTGCATGTATAATTGCCTGAATCTCCTGCTCTAACATTGTTTATTATTAACACACTAGTTGATATATCTCTCAGTTTACTAATTTCAATATTTTCAATAGTCTTAATTTCTGTTCCATTTTTCAACCATTGAAATTCCAAAGGTTTAGCCCCTTTTGTAACCGTGCAGAATGCTTTGGCTGTATCACCAACGCTTATTTTTTCAGGAAAATGAAATGGTTGTAAATTAGGAATTCCGCCTAAAAACAGAAATTTTATGTGAAATTGTAAAAGTTCTTTTCAATTACTAATATTAGAATTAACATTGATTTACGCAGCGAAATTAACAGTAACTTGGAATACCCGTAGCATTCACTAAATATGAATACGATCAGCTAAATAAGAAAACAATGAAGCTTACTTTCGGAATATACAGAAGCAGATACGTGAATAACAGTAAGCCAAATGCTTATTCTTCTCAAACTGAGGCCAAAAGTCATGATTCTCTAACTAAAATTGCACAGATTTCCAAGTTGTTGTTCAACACTACTAGTAACGTTGAGACTCTCTGAAATGCATAAAGCAACTCATTCTACTACACTTGCAACTCAGCGCCACACGGTGAATGAAATTGGTATTATAACATAAATAATATAATTTTGAAAATTTCTTACTTTATATTTTAACGTATTATTTGTATTTTTAAAATTAATAATTGAAAATGATTCATAATTTTAAAGTATTTCGAAATTTATATGTGTCTATACATGTATATGTATTCTTTTAAAATATACATTTACATCCTATTTATAATATTTACTTAACATATTCAAATATTAGTAGAATGAGAAATCAAGAATGAGTCTTCTCATTTTTTTGACGTAAAAGAGAATATTTCATTTGATTCATATCAATTAATTACATAAGCAATAAAGTTATACATTTTTAATATATGCATCCAGAGATTTCTTTAGAGTAATTTAATCTAGAGGAACAAGGAACAATCCATTATCCTGCGAATGTCTCCACTTTTTGACGTGATAATATAACAGTTTTGGAACAATTCATAGAAATGAATGGATGTACAGATATGTTTAGTATCTTCCTATTATGTATCTTCAGAGATGTAAAAATGGAATTCTGGATCAGCATATTATACCATTATATGATTCTGCAGATAAAAATTAAATAATGAAGAAATATATAGCATAAGGCGAAGACGAGTGCAGTCTTTTCTTCACGAACATTCTACAAACGCATTCAACAAAAGTGCGCTGTTGTCCTCAATATCTTGTATTTATCTTATTTACTGATGAAGCTGATTTTAGACGTGACGGGGTCTTCAGCTACCTTAACAATCACATCTGGAGCATTGACGACTCTCATTCAGCGCGACAGAACAAACATTAACATCAGTTGAGTCTAAACGTTTGGGCTGAAATGGTGCATGATCATTTAATATGTCTGACATTTTTACCTCCGCATCTGACATTTATTTGCAGTTATTTCGAAATGAATTGCACTATTTAATGGACGATTTATATCTGAACGTCATCCTACAAATATAGTTCATGAACGATAGCGCCTTGGCTCACTTCAGTCGGAGAATTCATTAGTATTCGAATGGCTATTTTCCTCAAAAATGTATTTGTTGCGGGTGATCCGTTAAATGGTCTGCTCAATCATCGAATTTGATGAACCTATCGGATTTTTTTTTTTTTTATCTCTGAGACATTTAAAGTACTGTACATTGACATTTTAAGACTGTGTATCGAAAACGAATGAGAGCAAATACGTAACATTAGGAATATTTAACAAGAGTATGAAACACAAGCCAAGAGGATCTATCGAAACAGCAGGATACCATTTTGAATAAATTTGTAAGAAAATTTAGTTTTGGGTTTACTTTCTTTTTCTTTGTTTCGGTTGGATTGCATTTTTTAATCATACTTTTTTAAAATTTGAGGACAAGACACTAATTTGAGGAGGAGAGCATATATTTTAAATTAAATAAATGAATAAAGATATGATTAAAAATTTCATCCTGGCATTGTGACGATGTCACAATAAATATTTGCTCGTTGCATTTAAAATTCAATTCAATAAAACGAATTTAGAGAAAAAGGACATTTACAAAGTTATGCCATTGCACGCTTCAAGTAACGTGACTTTCGGTTTGCAAATCAATCGGGGCCTCCTGTCCCTAATTTTTCTATATCTGGTCTCGGCTTTCATCTATCTAACTTCGTTCTCGAGATTAAGGAAAGACAACGGACGGACTACAGTGGGAATTTATAGGTCTATAAATTTTTCAAATTGCAGCCCAATTATTCTTGTTTGGCAATTTTTTCTATAAATATTATCTAAATAAACTGTTTTAGATGTTTAAAAAAATATGATCAATCATAACTTTTCCATACTTTTTTATGCTGAAGACAATAAAATCATTTTTATGGATTGTTTGAAATTTATATAATTCCTTATTACATTTTAATATTAAATTTTATACAAATATGTATTCATTATATTATATATGTAATGAAAGTATTATTTATTTCTTGTTTACAAAGAAAAATATCAAATAATAATATTGATAATTCATATTTAAAATTATTCTGCAAAACGAATTACTGTAATACGTCTTATAATGCTCTTTTCAACAGCGTATATAACTGTAAGTTGCCCATATAATTTCAAAAAACATATAATTTCAAAAAACAACAGAAATACTATACCTGTGATAGATGAAGAAAGTTAAATGTGATTATCAGAATCACAATTATTACGACTAATTGCAATTTTATTAAATTGGAAGAAGTGTATTATAATTTTTTAATAGAAGTTCTTCAATAGTAGGAAAAGACCTTATGAAAATTTTTGTAATATCATAAATAATTTTCTAATAAAAGGAATTGCCTTAAACTATTTTCAATAAATCTGAAAAATAATGTGCATAAATGAAAGATTAAGTATATGTATAACATATACATATTTTACGAATGAATACAGTAGAGCGTCGTTTATCCGAATCAATTGGGGACTGGGGTTGTTCGGATAACTTATTTTTCGGATAACCAATTATGTACGAAAAAATATATTAATTTATCCCGTGTTGAAATTTTTCTCCGTTGCGTGTCGCTTCGCGTTGAATTTTCGTCGATGTTAAGCCTAACGAAGACTATTGTATCGTTAAAAATTATTTTTTTATTTTGTACAAACAAAATAAATATATTGAAAAATATAAAAACAATAAAAAATTATACTTCAGAAGTTAATTTAGTATCAAAAACGTAAAATATTTGAGTAGCTGAAGACATAGCCAAAGATTACAGCGCCACAGCACTGGCGAAAATTTAAATTTGTTGACTGGAATTCCTTCGGATAACCGACGTTTCGAATAACCGACCTTCGGATAAACGACGCTCTACTGTATTTTCTATACTGTATTGTTGTAATTTTTTTTCTTTGTTCTACTAATACATTGTAAATTTTTAATACAATCATAAAAAATTTAGTTTATATCATTAAATATATCTCGTAACTGTAATATATATTAACATATAATAACATGTAATATATATAACATATAATATTAACATATAATATATGTAATATATAATTAAATATATCTCGTAACATAAATATATTTACCTTCTACTATTAAACGGCTTGTGTAATTTGTCGAACCGCCTGGATTACGTGCGATGCATGTATAATTGCCAGTATCTTTATAAGTGACTCGATGTATTATCAATATCGATATGTCTTTCAATTTCGTAATTTCAATATTATCATTACTGTCCACTTCTTTATTATTTTTCATCCATTGAAAATTAATTGGTTTGATTCCTTTAGTTACGGTGCATAATACTTTTGTACTTTCTCCTTCCACAACACGTTCGGGAAAATTGAAAGGTTGAATTTTTGGTTCGGATCCTTAAAATAAAAATCTAATTAAAATTTTCATTTTTGAAATATTAACTTTTAAAATATATTTTTATACACCGACAAGACTAATAATAACATAACAATGAAAACAGGAAATTATATACATAAATAAATTCAGGTACAATTTCAAAATATAATTGCTTTTATATTTAAAACAAAAACCATAAATCTTAATAAATAAAGGATTTACATTACAAGCAGTCGATATATATGATTCTCATTCTGATTGAAGTAAAACACAAATATCAATGATAATCGATGTTATTCTTCAATCAAATTTAATTACACAATATTAAATTCAGGTGAAAATATATTGTTATTAGATAAATATTTTTGAGTTCTTAAAGCTATAGAAAAGCTCTTGGCGTTAAGAATTCCAAAATATTTATCTATGTGGTCGCGATATGAACACAAAACAATAATGCATCCCATGCTTGTATTCATAACAATAGAAACGTTGAGATTTTTGATTATCTGTATTTATGTTTGTAGCTATAAATTTGAAATATGTTTCATTGATCTGTTCATATTGATGTCTAAATACTCTGTTTACTTTATCTAAAAATAATAAATATTATTTTCAATTAAAATACATTGAGATCTTTTTTATTTTAATTTTTTTGTCAGTCTATATTTCAATCCTGAAGTTTCTTCAATTACAATGAAATTTGAGAAATTTGTTCATTAAGGATACATGTTATATTTTGAATAAGAAGTGTTAACACTCATCTACGAATTAAAGAAATGTAAAACTTTTATTAGAAATTTATATTTGTAACGTCAAGGCGGCACATGCAATCAGGTGATACGAGAACATTATTCTCGAAGTGAATATTTCTGCCGAAAATTTTTTAATTCATAAAAACTTCATTGCTTCGAGACATTTTGCTGATAAATTTCCATGTGAAAAACGAAAGTTATAAAAAATGTAAACAGATGTCATAATAAATAGTATTTTCTTATAAAAGAAGCAATAATTGAAAACCATAAACTCCTCAGATTTTAAAAGTAGCCTATATTATCATCATTTTGGATGCCAAGTACTCATTTTCATTATCAATAAATAATGTTAGAAAAATATAAGATATTTTTATATACAGATAAGTGTCGAATGACTAGTGTTTTAAATTTATAATTGAATTTGTAAGAATTTGAAAACTTGGAAATTTTAACTATAGACAATCCTAGAAAGTCGAGGATTACCTATAGTTACAATTCGCGCTTTTGTACATATCAGTACTTTGATATTCCTAAACTGGTTTTTAAATACCAAATTCGAACTTTCTTATAATTTTAGCCTACAAACAATAATTTAAAAGTATCGTGCAATATCACTTTCTGCCAATTTTGCTTTTGGTAACATCTGAATTATTGCAAAAATAAAATTTTATTGTTTAATCTATGGTTTTAATGTTTTAAATGTTTTATCCATTCTAATATATTCGCTGCAAAAACAAAATTTCCTATTTAAATAAGAATTATATTTTATAATTTTTTCCTATACGGTTTTACATATCCGAAAGTCGTGTACGAATCTCATTCAGTCCGAAAACGAAGAGTATCTGTATATTATCATTTGCAATGGAAATGAACACTTTATGTCCAAACCGTAATGTATGTTTTTAAAAACTTTTATATACCGTAACGCGAAATTCACATTTCCATTCAAAAAGAAAAATGACGAAAATAGAAAAACTTACTTGTCAAAAATAAAAAAAAAAATAAAAAAATGTTATACTGTACTGGATTTTGTTGCCAAACAGAATGTTTACATTATAGAATCACTCGTTTATAATGTTGATTCTTCTGATATTATTTGTTTATTAAGAGATGCAGCAGTATTATGGAAATCCATTATTTTGAATAATAAGTAAATCTTTGACTCCGATTGGAACAGCTATTAAGATTTGTTTCAATAGTTAAAACATTAGCGTATTACTGAAAAGCATCTCTAGATTCTTCCAGGTTTGAATGCTTTTTATAAATCTAGGTCTTGTGATTTACTTCCTTTGTTAAATTTCCATTATATTTGTGTGATACTTAATGAAAAAACTAACTTTATACAGAAAATGTGGCTGAAATTAACTGATATAAATTACATAGTATGTTAAATTAATGTTTAAGACACGCGTATAAATATTAAATACGATATATGTATTTAAATATATCATCGATTTAATATTTTCGTTTATTAAGTTTCATACCCAATTCATAGTTTATAAAAACGACGTTCTTTTTTGACTTATAATTTATCATAACTATTCAGAAAAATAAAATGCAAAACTTACCCACTTCCATAGATATATAAAACGGGAATGTAATAACCAGTAACAATCGACACAGCATTCTTATTTACGAAGGTAGTAAGTTCAATTTAACAATATATTCAAGAAACTTAACACCGAAGGTCAAATAATTAATTAAGCATTCGTCGACATAAACATTTAGTCCCGTGATTGTTGTTGACGTTAAAGATTTTTCGACACTGTAAAATTCAAGTAACTCCTATTGCACTACAAATCCATTTGTGAAGTCCTAGAATAAAAGATTCTATCTAGCGCCGCATGGTGTTAAAATAATGCATTAAATATAATTTTCATTAAATTTCAAAAACTTTCATAAATCTATTATTTCTATCAATTTTTTAAAATGTGTCCAATATTTTTAAAAGTGAATTATTAATATTCAGTTAAGACCTTTACATTGTTGTTATTCATTATTTTTTTCAATTTTCAGTTATAATGATAAATACACGGGAAATACAAATTCAAAATCTTATAAACACAAATTTTATGTACACAAATTCAATGCTTGATTTAAAAAAAAAAAAGTAAATTTGTAATTTTTAGCTTATATGATTGAAATTACTTCGATAACCAAGAAGAAAATTCAATTCAGTATGATGATCTGTAAGATTTAATATCACTTTTAAAATATTCTCTTTTGTAGATTTTAACGGAATTTGTAGGCTAAATTTATTGCATGGCATGCATGATAGAAGAAAGAATTTTATTAAATATTTAATTACACATGCGTATTAACATCAAAAATGTAAAATATTAATTGTAAAACATCTTCGATAGGATGTTCAATCTCCTGGCAATATAAGCTTGATGACGATTCGGCACGTTGCAAGTAAAGCTGTTAATGACGACTTGAATGATTAATTGCCAATCCTGCAAAGAATTTAGATCTACATTTGTAAGTGTAGAAAATGTAATGAAACTGCAGTTCGTCTTGAAAAAGCGTCTCAAACATATTCAATATGATTTAGGACAGATAAAACTATAATCTATTCGGACTACGATTTTATTTTTGACATACTGGTCTACCAAACAAAATTTGTGAAAGGCATTATTGTTCATTAATATGGCTTCAGAATACATTGCTGCAAAAAATGAATGAACATAAGATTCCAGAATCTCATTGCGATACCTAATATGTTGCAAGACTTCCCGAGAAGACATAAGATTTTTGTAGCCATTGATTGTGATGTGACCTACACCGTCAAGTCGAAATCTCAAAATTATCTTTTCCTAAAATATTTGTGTACTGGTCGTCATTCGCGCCTGACCAACGACTTGCCACTTGGAGTTTTCCGGATTTTATTCGTGTCTCTTAATTAATACCTAAATAGAGGCAAGTTTCCCGTAGAAAGACTTTCAGGGGACATTCCTTTTGGCAGATTGCCTACTTGTTACGCTACTTTATCCCGTTAATCCAATCCAAAATATTTGTAGGATGATATTAGATTCTAATCGAAAATCAATTTAAATATTTCATTGAGACTCGTCTGTGAAGAGTATACCATTGACTTTGATTTCAATCTTAATGTTCTCAATACAAATTTAATCGAGTCTTCTCAGGAAAAATCAGAGATACAATTAGTCGTCTTTTTTAAAGAAAACCTTTAAGAATCTTTCTAAACAAACTTTGCTGTGAGACAACTTTTCGTACAGATTCTGTGAAGTTTGAAAATGTTGTGATAGTTCTTGCGGATTTTCAGGTAAACGGAGTCGATTTCCTCCTTTTAATTTCTGGTCGACTCCCGTACAATAGGTGTCTTTCTACAATGCAATCTACTGAAATCATTTGACTTACATTGGTTTTGGTTTTCATTTATTTCGTAAGAAACTTTTTTTTTT